GGTACCTTTTATTAACTACTAACATTGTCACTGGTATAAACTGAGATGAATGTACCAATTAAATTTGTTATATAATTAGTAGATGGTATTAACTAACTCAGTCCGCTTAACCAGAGCAGAAATTCATCATTATTGAACTTAGTCAAGATATTGATACAACATAAGTTTCACCACTCTGACACAATTAGAATCGAAGTAAACAAGCTCCAAAGCATCCACAAATCAAACTGCTTATCGCTGCTCGAACTCAGTCAAGATATTCACCTAATAAACATCTACACAAAGTTTGAATATTCTACCTCTATCAGAAGCAGAATTATAGTGTTGTAAATTCTTGATCAATCATATTGTTTATCTCTTCTTAGCCTAAGCAGAAAATGAAGACATTCACCTAATAAACGTCTACACCAAGTATGAACACACTACCTTTATTAGAAGCAGGGATATTGAGTTCCAATTGGTGTGAAGGACAGATGGTCGAACATCTACATCAAGTTTGAACATTCTACATCAATTAGAATCAGATCTTATTGTGTCCCAAAGTCTCAACCAAATAAATTTGTTATCAGTACTTTCGTTGAAAGGTGGTGGGGGGGGGTGAAAAAAATCATTCACTAACAATGGAAAATAGCTTTTGCACGGTTTGACCAGATACCCAGTCTGGCTTGGTACTAATTTCTTTTACTTACCAAAAAATGTGACCTTAATAAGTCTTGACAATTTTGCAAGTAAAAACAAATGCATGGATACATGTACTTGACCTGATATAAACAAGTACTAAATAACAACATGTATAATAAACTGCTGGTTTGTTGAAATACTTTCTAGCAAAGTCTTTCATAAAGCAAATGACAAAGATATACATGTATATGAAACAACATGAATCAAGTCTTTGTGGTTATAAGATAGATTTCATATGAAAACAGGGAATCAAATAGATATTAACCGATGCTAGTTATGCTAGTCTGCATACACAAGGAACCAATATAAACTGGGTACACTCAAACAACACAAATTTTTACACATCGCCCAGCTCATCAACCATAAATTGTGCCATGTTTTAAATTGATGTCACCCACCCCAACCTCTCTATACTTGCATGGGAAATGAAAATTAAATGAAATATGGTCCAACGTCCTGGTGTTCTGCTCCATCTGGGCTAACGCCATACAGTGCGCTATGAGGGAAATTTTGCTTGGACAGCGGTGCTACAGCCTACTCTGATATCGAATTCCAACTGTCAAGGGATCTTTTATGTGAACACCAATGTGTACACAGGACCTCGGTTTTTCAGAAAATCCAAACGACTAGACAGCTGTCCTTGTCAGGCCCCATGTCCTGCATCACTGACAAGGGGACTCCCCACCGGAAGATTCTGGTAAACTTTTTTGGGCAACACCGGGAGCCAACTTGCGAATTCCTGGCTAGCGAGCCAGCGTCTTACTCACTTAGCCACCATGGCTCCACTACTTTGTAGTCTACTTGCATGGGAATGTATACTATAAACCCCTATATACATCTACCACCATCATTCACTTGTAAGCTTACTTGGATGTGAAATATACCCTACGTCATTTAGTTCCTCATCAGCATCATTATAACTATCTATTATAATGTTCCTGTAACACTATGTCGATGATTCATAATATATTCATATCAAACATTTATGATAATCAACATGCACAAATATACACCCTACCTGCTGTTAATGGAAAGGGAATACGTCAGAATAGATGACGATTTCCAAAATTCGAGATTATAGGTACCAAGCCACCACTCAACAATTCATTGATTTTTCTTCCAAAGTCACATTCCATGGAACAATCTAAGATAGGCAGGGAATCCGTGGAAACGTCAATATCAGGAGACGAGTCCAGTTATTGGAATAACAGGTAAACAGGCAGGACGAGTTCATTCAATCGATACTTGGAATACTCTAAATGGAAGAAATACGAGTGTCGCTATTATAAAAACGCGGGAAACATTGACATCATACTACACGAGACATTGTCTTGTCGATCAGAAATCCATACTGTCTACCATAACAGTAAATTTATACAAAACAATCTATTGTTTAGGGTTTAGTGCAATGCATGGTTAAATTATTCATTTGAAATACATTTACTAGTGATGTGGTGCCACAGTAAATGACAGATGTCTATATATTGTAATTAGTGTATCATTAAGACAACGTTCTATATTCTAAGTCAGTGGATATCGATTTGATAATAATTAATACATTGTTAACTTATAACACATTGACAGAAGTTGTTGGCGCCATATTATTTTGTATATTGATACATCTTTAGAAACATTTTTGTTTCATAAAGCTATATAACTGATGTCTTTTTTCATAACGTATTTTTCCAGCATCCCTTTGCCTGATTCTTACTTGGTAACCTCAACATATTCATTGTGTATGTAGACAATTCTTGGAACTGAAATGAATGGAATCGTCCTTCTGTTGTGTTTTTATGGAAAATATACTTACCCATGAAATATCCTACTTTTAAGTGTTGGTGAGGGGGGGGGGGTTCACGGTGGCTAAGTGAGTAACACGTTGGCTCGCTAGCCTGGAGGTCGGGTGTTCGATCCCTGCATTTTCCGGCGTGGTTCTCCCTTGTCAGTGATGCAGGACGGAGGGCCTGACAAGGACGGTTGTCCAGTCATTCGTATGGGACAAAAAAAACGGCATTTAAAATTCGATATAAGAATAGGCCATAGTGCCGCTGTCCGGGCAAAATTCCCTCATAGCACACGGTATGGTGTATGCCCGTCTTCGTTAGCCCAGTTCGGAGCAGAACAGTAGGACGTTAAACCCCATTTCATTTCATTTTTGTAAGTGTGAGTGTATTATGGCATCGCCCATTTAAGTCCATGAACAAATGGCTCATTAACACGATTGAGGCTGCCAACACTGTCCATCATGTGAAAGTCCATTGGCCAATTACTCTATTTTACCGATATTTCGTCTAATGATTTGGAAGCAGCTATGGCGGTGTGCCGCCAGACAGGGTAAGCTTACTCTTCCGGACACCTGTTACCACTGTTTGTCGTGTATTATGTACACGGTGAACAGTCCATTTGCTGATTGTACTATTTAGCCTACTGCCCCCGCCCCCTTTCTTACTTTTTATTTTATTAGATTTTTTCAAATTTTGTGTGAAACATTGGGGTCATTTTCAGTGCTCCACGACCTCTCATCCCAAAAACCCTTGTGAATGGGATATAGGCTACAGATTTAAATTTTTATTTTTTTCAAATTTTGTTTACAGTGTTGGGGTAATGTAAGAATGAACCTTATCGATCTTGAGAGCTATGCAACTTTCCATTTCGGAGCCCGGTTACGCATGGGCGATGGAACTTTTTAGCTATAGTCTTAAATAAATATGCTTGCTTGCCACCACTATAACAAATGTAAAATGTATCGCTTTCATTTGGATTATAGTAAATACATTTAGTTCTATGTTCCAATGAACTCCCTTTTGTGGAGTTATCTCCCTGTTTGTGTCTAATGATATGTAACCATATGCCATGCAGTGTATGAATTTTAAATGGTGATCAATGCTTTGCTTTTTTGACAAGACCACGCATGGTTAATTGTTTCATATATTACATTAATCATTTTCATAATCAGCATTATCTGAAAATCTGTGCTTTAAATTGTGTTTTTCAAAGAAGAGTCTATGGCATTTTGGAGACTTTGCAAGTTAAGCCATCTTCTAGTCTGTTTAAATAAGATTGTATTAAATTTGAAATAATTCAGCCAAGAAGTCATCAATGAGATCTAGATTGAGTCTACAGTCTGAGCAGTCAACAAGGGTTATCACATATTTCTTCTTTTGTTGGTAATGAAAATATTTACAACACACTAAAATCGGACTAAGAGTAACAATAGACTTTGTTGTCTCATGCCCTTAAACACTGTATATGATTTTAAAGTCAATCGGATGATGAATTTGCTCACTGGAGCGTCCACAAGATTTTTCAAAGTGATCAAGGTCCATAACTCTGGCAGTAATCATTGCAAATTGTTAAAACTTAATACGCTTTGTTTTCTAATAACCTTAAACACTGTGCATAAATTTAAAGTCAATCAGATGAGTAATCAAAAGTAATAACTCTGAAAATCAACATGCTTCTTTGTCTCATGGCCTTAACTAATATATCAGATGTTAACTTCAACCTCTAGAGTGTCCACAATGTTTTCTAAAGAGCTCAAGGGCTATTACTCTGGCAGTAATTATCGGAAATCATAGAACATCAATAGGCTCCTTCATTTTATGACCTTAGCCAATGTGTATACATTTAAAGTCAATCGGATAATAACTTTAGCCTCTAGAGCAACCACAAGATTTATCAAAGTGATCAAGGGCCATTAATCTGGCAGTAACTATCGTCAATCAAATGGCCATTGCATGGTCCTAAACAATCTGTATAAATTTAAAGTCAACCAAATATTAACTTTAGTCTCTAGTGGACGACTGTTGAACCCTGGCCGACTCGACCAAACCAATGACAAAATAAAACAATATTGCAAATAAATTTACTGGATATGGTAGAATACAAGATTATAAGTCAATATATCTATGTGCCATGTATACAACATGTTTAGACACCTTGTCCAGCTAAGCTACAAAAAACAAATTACATCGACATATCAGCTTGTATCAAATGTGAGTCAGGCATGTTTGTGGGTGGGGCTGGAGGGGGTGTATGTCCAGTTGTCTAGGTGATCATGTATTTTTTTTTCCATCCTGGTTCTTTGTTTTACAACTATCATTATATAACAAAATAAATTATGCCATGATTTGTGCCAAAGACAACCACCAAACACAGTATCATGTTCTTGTTTACTTAGTCATTGGAAACACTCACCAAAGTCATTTCAATGTGGGTGTGTAAAAAGGTTTCTGTTTAGCTTGTTTAATAACATTTGTTGCTCAGACACGCTTCTTATCAATGGCTGCCCATAATGATATAAAACAAATACTTGTTAGTTTCGTTCTGTGATTTTAATAAATCTTAGTGAAATATCACAGGAGTAGAATCTAACTTCAGTAATATAATATTCTTTTTATATTTTTATGTCTACATAAATACACACTTCTATAGTCTCATATTACAACGGCCATTTCCATTGATTAGGTGGTGCCTGTCCTATCAATGGTTCCCATGGTCTCCACTGTAACATTTTACGTGATAAAGACAATTCTCTTCTGGCCTGTAAAAATACAATATCATAAATAAATTTACAACACAATATATCTACTTGTATTTTAATAATATGGGGTGATTTATGCTATCTATATATGAATAATAAGGTTTGCTATGAGTTTATTTTGAAAATGCAATCAATTTGTTTATGATATGAGAAAAACAGGATATCAGGTCTATAGAGTCATGGTTTTGTTTTGAAATACTAGTCAAGAACATTAAACGGGTATTCTGTCACGGCCAGTGTCCATATAAGGGTGGTTCTTGACGTCATGAGGCCTAATTAACCATTCACACAATTAATTGCATAAATTTAACCAATTTAATAATTAATAGTAGAAATATGGGCATATGTAAAGAGCTAGACTTGTGCTCTACATTTTAGACATATAGATTCTTTAGAGATCAGACACCATAGGGGATATCGTTAAGGTTCAAGAGACACCATCTGGATTCAGTAAACCCCATTGATTTGTAGAAGCATGATATAGTGTGTTCTGTCAGTCAACTGTGGGTTAGTGGGTTTAAGATTATGTACACAACAAGAGAAGTCCTAACAGAAGAGAATAATATTAATATACCCAAGATACAAATCTAGTCGATCACAGGCTAACAAAAATGTGTAGCAGAGAGAATAATGTCACACATTGGATGTAGTAACCAATTTGATGGCACCGTTTAACATATCTGACCAATGTGTATTGCTCAGTATATAACATGATTAATTAGCCACATTGTGCAGCTAAGCTACAAAAAACAAATTACACTGACATATTTCTGCAGTGGAAATATCAGCTTGTTACAAATGTGAGTCAGGCGTGTTTGTGGGTGGGGCTGGAGGGGGTGTATTTCCAGTTGTCTAGGTGATCAGGTATTTTTTTTTTCCATCCTGGTTCTTTGTTTTACAACTATCATTATATAACAAAATTAATTATGCCATGATCTGTGCCAGACACAGTCAAGTTCTTAATTACTTATTATATGGCACAGAAAATCAGATGACGAAACAAAGTATAGATATAAATAATTTGAATCAGATTGGTTCCAACTAACTTGTAAAATTTGATGATATAAGAAGTACAATAATTGTGTTGTTAAATAAATCAATATATAAATAGTTTACCTGTAAAATAAGTTGTTCTACGAGTCCATTATTCACTTTTCTTTCTAATTGTTCTACATCAGTTTCCTAGAAATGCAAATAATTTCATTATTAATCTATACTAATATTTGTGACTGTCATTTGTCTGTCTGTTCAGGATTGTCGGCTACACTAGGGCTGTCCTGAGGCTGAAATTTGGTGTATATGGGTAGCTCGGATCTGGGAGTGACATAGGCTAGGTGGTGTTAGCCTACTGCTTCCAGAGTTATACTACTTTCAACCTGTGCAGCGCCTGGTCATCCGCTAGTCCATCAACAAAAATAATCAGTAAATTTTTGGACTGAATTATACTTTATGTAGCCCTTTTTAATTTAAATCATTGACTTTCGGTTATTTGACTACTGGTTGTTATTAAATCTGTGTGAACACAATTCATTATTTACAGAATAAAATTATTTTACTTATTTGCAATAACAGTACAATTATATTATGTAATGAAGATTGGCATTACAACCTGGTTAGGAAAATTATCTAAGTTATAACTAACAAAATGATCTACTAGTTGACTGACATGTTCAACTTTGTGATAGAAACTAAGGGGGTGCTCGATTGTCAGTCTGGAACATACCGAACTGACAGAATTGCAATCAAGTGATACAGAATTCAGCCAAGTCACAGTTCGGCCAGTCCCGACAGCCGAAGTGGCGTGAGAAATGAAATGAAATGAAATGGGGTTTAACGCCCTACTATTCTGCTCCGAACTGAGCTAATGAAGACGGGCATACACCATACAGTGTGCTGTGAGGGAAATTTTGCCCGGATAGCTGCACTACATGTATGGCCTACTCTTATATCGAATTCCAACTGTCAAGGGATCTTTTACGTGCATGCCAATGTGTACACGGGACCTCAGTTTTTCGTCCCATCCAAACGACTAGACAGCTGTCCTTGTCAGGCCCTCTGTTCTGCATCACTGACAAGGGGAACCACGCTGGAAAATCGGGATGAACTTTCACGGCCAATGCAGGGATCGAACAATCGACCTCCAGGCTAGCGAGTCGGCGTCTTAGCCACCAATCGTGAGATAATGTAAGTAACAAATATGTTTCAGCTGTCATGATTGGTTAAGATATTTTTTGATGCAGTCGGCACATGCGTTGTACTCCGAAATTCTCTTTTTCACTCGATTGACACTATTTTTGGAATTGAGAGAATTCAATACCGGATCGTTCAATCGAATATCCCCTTATAGTCACCAGGGGGATTGTGTCCAACAAAGACTGAATTTGTCCCTAAAAATGTCTGACTGCATTCTCGCGAAAGTATTTAATGGGTTATTATCTATCTATATAAATAAAACCAAAGTATGTATGTATGTATGTATGTGTGTTCGCATGTTCACCCTCCACCCCCATAAATGTGGTATCAAATTAACCAGCATGACCTCATGAATGTTTTAGACCATCAAATTTAGGGACCTACGTAAATTGGGCCTGGGCCCCGGTAGAATCATGCTTCATCGCCATGCTCCTGCCCACATGTGGTATCAAATTAATCAACATGACTCTGTAAATGTTTAAGGCCATCGAATTTGGGTCCCAAGCAAATTTGGACCCTGGGCAAAGCTGGGTATCGTGATATTTTCCAATAAAAGTATGGCAAATTTGGTGTATGGAAACTAGAGACACACAATCTTAATAGAAAAATACTGGAATCCCTGAAAAACACTCAAAAGGCGAGCACAGTACACAAATAAAAAAGGGGGGGTGGGGGGGCCGTAACTTGCAACCTGTCTACATGAATTACATGAGAACAGTGAGAGACATAATTAAACATACTGCAGACTATGATAAAACGGAGGAAAAACAAGTTGACAGAGAATAATCCAGGAATTTACTTAGGCTTTGATATTATACAAGCTGAAAATGGACCTTCAGTCATATCATGTGACAAGCAAGGCTGCTTAAAATAGATTTTTACGACTCAGGGTAAATTTTTTAGATTAAAATGTTTAGACAGAGGGATTTGAAGTAACTTTTCAAAAATAAAATTAGTTTGAATGTGTTTTTAATCCAAATATGTTATCAAATTAGACAGTTTGTACATGGAAAGACATCTTTAAAGTTCAGAGTAATTGCTAGAATTTGATCTAAATATGATGTTTTCATTGTTATGTTTGTTATCATGTCAAATATTGAGATATTGAAATGGGCTCTGCCAGTCAGTACTTCTGGGTTTGTTTCTGGGGTATAGGTCATAATCCGTTTGTACACACATCAACCTATTATAGTAGTTGTGTGTTTTACAGATTTAATTATTATTTCCATGTAAACAAATTTGACAGTTTTTTGTACAAGGGCTTGGGATTTTGATGTCTTTGAGTCGTCTTGGGTTTTTTTTTATAACGAAACACAACTTAGTAGTTTAGAAATATCCTTCAATACAATCAGTCAAAATGTGACATTAGATCAACTAAAATCAAATAAATGTTTTTAATCTCTAATTTTGAAAAAGATTTAGCAGAGATATATTAATTTGAACATGCGGTTGCGATGCAAGATCTGCCTACATATTGCAAGTGATGCACAGAGAACAAACTAAAAAAAGAGATAATGCAGGATGTTACAGTTCGACATGCGACCATATCAAAAGGAACAGAGCTTTGAGATATAAACATATATTTTTTGTTTCATCAAAATCAGATACAATTGTTGACCTCTAGAGCGGCCATTTTGTCAGACAGCCTAGGTCAGATTTTCGTACAATCAGAGACCATAATCCTAGAAATTATGGTCAGCTATGCACCAATATCGAACCCTGGATGGACAAGGATGTCAACAATATATGTCCATGTGAAAATGTGGGCTTATAAAAATTATCAAGACTGGATGAACAGTGATAAAAACAAGTAACCAGTTTAAGTTGCCCTATAGCCATACAAACATTTACAAATTAAAAAAATAATGAAATAGGCTTACAGACTGAACCAATGCCATTCGTTCTGAGATTACTGCTTCTGTGTGTTTTCGGTATCCAGCTTCTGCTGGCATCTTCTGTAGCGTCATATTAATCTTTTCATACAAAACTTTTAACACCTAAAATTTGGACATGTATATTTTATTACTGCCCGGTTAAATAGTGTCGATTCAAACATATTGTCACTGATAACATCAGTTTTTTCAATAATGTAGGCAATCACCATTTGTAGACCTAAATCATAATTCCAGAGTAATCAGTAGGGATATATATATATATATATATGCACCGGTATGTCACAAACTCTTCTTGATCCAACACAAGGAGGTCCTCAATATGACCATAGTGTAGTTTGCTAATGTAAACTGTGCGTGAATAAGTTTATTTAATGATCTGCCTACATTGAATTATGTAGTGCATTCTATTTTGTGTATTTGAGTTAATGCACAGCATAAATGGAATGGGGTTTAATGTCCCACTTTTCTGCACAGATTGGGCTAATGAAGACTGGCACACGCAATGCAGGGTGCTACGAGGGAAATGTTGTCCAGACAGCGGCACTACACACTACTCTTATATCGAATTCCAACAGTCAAGTGTTCCAACAGTCAATATGCACACAGAACCTTGTCTCATCCGAACTACTAGACAGCTGTCCTTGTAAGACCCTCCGTCATGCATTACTGACGAGTGGGAACCAAGCCGGAAAATCCTGAGCAAAGTTCTCAGCCAATACCAGCAGCAAACCCAAGACTTCCAGGCTAGCAAGCCAGTGTCTTACTCAATGAGCCACTGTGGCTCCCTAATTTACAGTATAAAGCAATCAGATTTTATAAGGCTGATGAAATAGATTAAATAACCAAACCCTCACCCCTTCTAATTTTCATTCATGATAATAAATGCTTTACCTGATGTGGATGTCTTGCTGCCTCAAGGCCGGTCAAACCAGTCTGAAAAAAAGGATGACCACATATTAGGCAATTCTACGCTTCTAAATTAGAGGAGCTACATCGCTAATATTTGGGACCTAGAAATTGACACAAATGGGTCGCATATATAATAATGTAATATGAATGTATAGAAACTGATTTACATTTAATCGTTTGTTTTACTATAATTTTTAATCAGTTATGTTCAGCGAAATATGCCAGAAGTCTCAATTGAATAGCAATCTCTAGCGTCTGTTTATTCCACTCTACTTCGATAGTATTTATTGTGCATGCTCTGCAGATAAGAATATGGTGTCACCGTTTGATATGACTAATGGAATATGTCTAGTCTCGTTCTTTGTGTCCCTTGTTACAAATTACGTTGAAATGTATGGTAAAAGATTTGTGTACCAATGGTAAAATGTTTATTTTGTTTTAAATATTGAATATCAGAAGCACACCTTTTCCAGGTAAGATCACAACATCAATGTTGAATTAAATTGATAAATAATTTGTGTTTTCAGTGTTGAAGACTTTGGATGATATTGAGTTAGAGATTTAGCTACTTTAATTAAATTTTAATGTCATTGTTTGTTTTCTTTAGAAAAATGTTTTCTAACTTTTGGGTCTTAGTAATGGTTATTTATATTTAATATGTGACTAAATTTTAAATAAGGCAGAGGTGCCATTACTTTTGTTTTGGCACCACCAACAAAAAGTCCAGATTCATTATCTTAATTGTCCACTTACGATACCAGTAGGCCTACTTATATTTGAAGATTGGAAGTGGATGTTCAATATCACTAATTTTCTTTCAAAGTTGACTGATGTATCTCCTTGCTTGGAACATCATAGATAGGCTTACATTTACATGTAGTAGGCCTACATCTGAACTTTGCCATTGTGGGGAATATTCACAGACAATTGCTCATTTATTGAGACTATGTTCAGTCTTTGATTATTAATACATTACAATAATAACTGACAAGTCTCAAGGGATATCATCCTCAACCTCGCATGTCCAACAAACAAAGTCAATTGCCAACATACATATTTGTACATTTTGTGTGTTATTTGGACTTAAAGTAGCTATGTCTCTAACTCAATATCATCAAAAATCTTCGACATTGAAAACACGAATTATTTGTCAATTCAAATCAACATTGGGGTTGTATTCTTACAGGGAAAAGATGGGCTTCTGATATCCAATATTCAAGACAAAATAAACATTTTACCATTGGTACACGAATCGTGTACCATAATGCGTTTCAGCGCCATTTGGAACAAGGGACTCAAAGAACAGGGCTAGACATATTCCACAAGTCACGTGGAGAGCATGCGCAATAAATACCATCGGTGTAGACTGGAAAAACCAGAAGCTAAAGATTGCCATTCACGTGAGACTTCTGGCGTATTTCGCCAAACATAACTGATTAGAAATTGCATTAAAAACAGAAACGATTGAATGTAAATCAGTTTATATACATTCATATTACATTATTATATGCGTTGCGACCCATTTTTGTCAATTTCTAGGTCCCAAATATTAGTGATTTAGTTCCTTTAAATTGTTGCTGAAACCCAAGGCCAGGGGAGCTAAATCATGAATTTTGATGGTGTATCTAGTACTATCTACAACACTGAGACGGTCATTATGATTCGGACATCTTAGCCTATTCTGGTCAGCATTTACCCTCATTATTACTCTTTTTATAAGTAATGGGCCTACATGGCAAGATAAGTATTACTATTACTAAGTTGATTGCCCGATGGCACCAACCAACATTTCTAATTAAAACACAGTCACAACTATTTAACTATCTGCGTTCACCCTTCACACGTAAAAGTCTATCAGAATACCGCTAGGCTAGATGTCAGCTGTTTCAGACAAGAAAACCTGTGGATATTATTTTGTTCCTTCATTCTTTTACTTACTATTCGACCAAGACCAGCCATTTCGGAAGTTCTCTCAATGTTAAAGCAGTCACGGAGAAAACAACATCGAAGGGAAATAACTGCAATGACCCAACATGTGGGCTCAGACCATAAAGATTATGATTTATTTTTAACATAATTACCTTCTTTCCAAGTTTGATTTTCACTGATTAGACGGTGCTAGAACCAGGGAAAAAGGAAGCAACATGTATTTTGTGCTTATAATGAGACATGAACTCGTAAACTGAGAAGCGGTGTCAAGTTCTCTAAAGAGTTCTAACCCTGCCCCTTGGTGAGAATTCTTTTGCCGATTGCTTTCTAAAGAGTACTTTAAGGAAGCAAAATAGAAAAACAAAAACCGACCGCGACTGTGTCAAACATCAAAATATCAAGAAAATTCATCACATAAACTATTCGTTTTTTGAGGTTTTTTTTCAAATACGCCGGGGCACAGACAACTTGACAAGAGCCTAAAAGGAAGCAAAATGGAAAACAGTTTTGTACAATTATGGCTCCAAATAAAATGGGGAGAATAAGCGGCGTGGATGTTTTTTTTGTTTTTTTTTGACGAACCGTTCTATAATTTAATGAGAGAGAGAGAGAGAGAGAGAGAGAGAGAGTAGGTCATTTTGGGACTAACACATGGTTCAATTTTATTTCAATAATTCGCATGCGCGCAGGGGTCTTTAGCAGTGGGAGGACTCGGAGAAAACCCATGCGTTATATCAAGCTTCTAATGGGCGGTGCAGGGCAACTGCATGATGAAAGAAAGCCACCAGTGTGTAAAACTGAAGTTGGTTATCTTAGTCTGTTTCTTCTGTCTGGACATTTAGCTTAAATTATATTTAAACAAGTGTGTTTTTAACTCCGATTTAAATTTAACAAAAGTTGAACTTGCTCTAATTGATCTTGGTAGCTTATTCCACATATGGACACCATTTATAGGGAAAGATAATTTTCCTCTGAGTCTCTTGTAAGCAGGCACAGATAGTAAAGTAGTATCTGTGGACGAACGAAGGTTCGGTTTTTCCTGTTCGTAGAATGTGAATAATTGTTTCATGTAGGAGGGAGCAGTATCCGAAAACTTTATACACATTTGATAGCACTTTAAAGTCGATCCGGGCTTTCACAGGCAGACGATGAAGACTTTTAAGAGTTTCTGTTAAGAAGATGACTTGGCAACTAGTCGAGCACAGTTATTTTGTACAACTTGAAGACGGTTGAGGGAGAAATCTGGAATGCCAGCCATAGTCAGGGGCGTACATAACGATTTTGTTTTGGGGGGGGGGGGGGTGTTTAGTCAAAATGCGACCGACTGATGCCCATACCCCTAGTACGAGTGACGCAGTCAGGAACCCAAGCACCACAGGTGCGAGTTTTGTAGGGGCCATGTGCAGTAGCGGATCTAGATGGGGTGGGAGGGGTCCAAATCTAGGGCGCCACCCCAGCCACAATCCCACCCCACAATAAATGTCAACAAAATACTGGCTATAACATTAAGCATCCCGGTAGAACATAGATGGTATTGTATAATTATAATTATATAGTTGTTTGCCGATCGTTGTCTCGATGGAAAGCGGTTTTATTTAAGTTGACATAAAGGTTATGTCATATATGATTGAGCCTATAACACTGAGCAACCTGAGAAAATTTTGAAAAATTGAGTCAATATCTTGGCATTTGAGGTCATTGCTGGGAGAAATTCTTGTGGACGAGAGGGCCAGAAATGTGAGTCAATTAGACAAAGTCTCAAGATCTGCCCACTGTCAATTCCGCCTGTTTTGCAAGAGTTGACAGAACTTTTGTATAGTCTGACGCCCCACGACCCACACACCAGTGCCAGTGGTACTACTAACATAACTAGGCAGTTCAGTATAACCGTGAATATGATAGTGCTGAGACAGTATAAGACAACAGAGGAGTGGAAGAATAATGTTATAATGGAATCGAAAAAATTTGAGATGTGCAACCGAGCTTTTAATTTTTGGGGCTTGGCCTGACAATTTTAGTCAATGTCATGGCAAATGGATCCAAATTCTCGTTAACGAGAGGATAAGAAATTGGACAGAATCTTGAGGCCTATCTGTCAATGTCGCCTGTTTTGTGAGAGTAGAACTAACAATTCTACAGTCTTTTGACCCACGACTCACTCACTAGTGGTACTACTAAATGGGCAATTCACTGTAACTGTGAATATGATAGAGATGAGATAGTATAAAACAGAGGAGAGTTGAAGAATGATGGCATAATGGAATTGAGCGCCGATATGTAACTGAGCTTTTAATTTTTGAGGACTGGGCCTGAGGGCACTTTACCTCAATGGGGCGCTTACTTGGTCTCTGAAATGCCCTGGACTTTGGGGAGAGATTTTGCAGAATTCTGATGGTCAGAAAACACCCCATTAATTCATTTAGTCTGAGACCGACTGCGGTGAGCACTTTTTTTTGAGACCGACTATTTTTTTGCCATGGGGTGAAAAACATTTTTTTCAAACATGATAAGTCGACAAGGGTATTTTATACTAAAGTTTTGCGTGAGTAGAGTGACGTGTGCAGTGAGCACTTATTTTGATACCGACTGCTCATATCTTACGACCGACTGCACTGATTTTGCGACCGACTAGTATTTGGGATCTATTCTGGCATCATTTGTTTACCTCATTAATTCATTAAGACGGCGATGCATAATTTTGAGACCGACTGCAGTGACTGCACTTATTTTGAGACCGACTATTTTTCTCCCTGGGCGAAATTTTGTTCTTAGACCTACATACTCACAACAGAATAAGAGTGAAACACATTAAGTTGACAAGGTTATTTTATACTAAAGTTTTGCGTGAGTAGCATGACGTGTGCAGTCAGTGAGCACTTATTTTGATACCGACTGCTCTTATTTTGCGACCGAATGTACTGATTTTGCGACTGCTCTTTTTTTGCGACCGACTGCACTGATTTTGCGACCGACTATTTTTTTTCCTGGGGGGGGGGGGGTGTACCACCCCCCACACCCCCACACCCCCACATTTACGCCCCTGGCCATAGTCCAACTGAGATATGACCAGTGCTAATATAACTCTAGCACATGAATCTTTAGTAAGATACCTTCTGATTCTGGATATTGGCTTTAATCTCATGTACATTTTACACATAGTATTGTTAAATTGTTGTTTGAGAGACACTGTCTTGTCCATGATGAAACCAAGATTTCGTGCTTTACATGATGGTGAAATTTCGGTATCGCCGATGTTTAAGAGCTTTGGTGAAAAGTTGAAACTGTTCAGTTTTGATCTTGGTAATATCATCAGGAATTCTGTCTGATACAAGATTCTAGCTTCTTTAGGGCACCGTGTATTGGCATCTGGTCAGAAGGAATGAATGTATTATACAATTGCGTATCGTCGCAAAAACCATGATAGCTGATACCCTGTCTATGAATAATTTTACCAAGCGGAAGTACATACAGTAAGAAAAGAAGTGGACCTAGTACCGATCCCTGTGGACTCCAATGGACAGCGGTTTAGATACAGAGTTACTGCTATGAATATGGACACATTGGCTTCTGTCAGTTAGATAAGACTTCAACCAATTCAGCGCCGATCCTTTGATTTCCACAGATAACTGTAGTCGAACAGAATGCTATAGTCGATGGTATCAAATGCCGCACTAGAAGTATAAGGTTGATGCTAAGGTTACTGTCCAGTGCTGCATCAATATCAGCTTTTACCTTCAAAAGTGCTGTCTCTGTGCTGTGATCTTCTTTAAAAGCAGACTGCAGTGGTTCGTGAAGATCGTTAGCTTGCAGATAATTAGTGATTTGTCTCGCTATCACCCTTTCAAGCACCTTTCCGATAAACTCAAGATTTGAGACTAGGCGATAGTTCTTGAGGATCTCGCAATCAAGCGATGATTTCTTCAGAAGTGGAATCACAAGGGCAGTCTTTAATGAAGTCGGCACACAGCTTTTGGCAATTGAAGAATTTATGATAGCAGTGATGAAAGGAAGGAGCGCATCCAATACTTGTTTGGACTTCAGAAGCCATGTTGGAAGGGGATCTAGGCTACAGGAAGTTGACTTGCTCTTACCAATGATAGACCGGGCATGTTCTTATGTAACTGGGGCAAACTCAAACAAACGGCTTGGTACATGATGTTCTTCAAACGCATTTAACCCACTGCTAGTATTGTCAAGAGTACGCCTGATATCGCTGACTTTGTCATGAAAGAATTAGTACATTTACTTGCAAGTTTTGTTTGATTTTTGTTATGTTGATAATCGTGGAAATGTTGAAATATTTTGATTATTTGTTTTAAGGTGGCCTATAAAACATAACAAAATGTTTAAAATGTTAATGTGCCACGGATAGTGTTACCGATATTGTTACTCTGGTCGTTACTGTTCCAGTTATTTATGGTGATTAAAAGATCTACACGAATAACTCGAATAACTCATCAACCTTATCATCTTCTTAAAAGTGCTGCGGAGAATCAAATATTTAGTGACTTTGTGTGAGCGTTTACCACCAACTCATTATGGAAGGATATTTCAATATTCACGGTGCAAAATGCATATGTCAGGAGTTCAAAATACGTATTGAAATAATATTGACAACGTTATCCTTCCATGTTATATACTATTCAAAAAAAGTAGGGGATATTTGATTTTGGGGGCATAATACTAAAATATGCAAATGACTACGAAAAAAGTCACTATAGAACCTAACAGAAGAAACATTTCCAGTTACATGTGACGCCCAAACGCACCAATAGCTACCGCATGGAATGCAGGTGATGCTTGGGATCATCATGGGGGTCCAACCCAAGATTTGCACGACTCTGACTTTGAATGTTACAGTCATTGTGGCATTGAATTCCAGGGTGGAAACATCAGTTTAATTGTTTTAGTGACCAGAAAACAAATTTTGATATGCGTCGGCTTACCCAAAATGAAAGGTTACGTGCCCTTGGCATGCTACAGATCGGCACAACACAGGCGGTTGTGGCGCGGACGATAAATGTTTCTCAGTCTGTCATAAGCAGGCTATGGTCC